GGGAAAAAATGAGATGAAATGGTCCGCGGCTTGCTGCGGTGGCTACACTCATGAGCTTGAAGTATCTGGCGGCAGCAGTGCACCATCAAACCCTCCTCATGCTGAACCATGATCAGTTGCTAGCTGCATGAAGCAACGCGTTCGATTTGCAACCCAGCCCTTGTTTTGCACTCTCGACATTGTCCGAAACCATGTCGCATGAACAATTGCAGGCCGATTGGCCTAAGCGCATTTGCACATGCCCAACGCATTGAATGATTGACAGTGTGCCAGAACCATACAAAGATTCCCTGTCCATCCATATTGCATGCCTGTCATCAAATACTGAAGCACAATGATTATCAAGAATTGCCAAAACCTGACTGCCACAAGCAGGAGTCTGGAATGGCAGTGCTTGAACTTGGCGGAATGTGCTGCATTTGAAATACTCAAACAGCGCTCTGATCCGTCGCATCGCACTTCTGAATTAGTAGTTGGCGACGAAGGCTTGACCTCAAAGCGCATCTCACCGGCCAAGGCTGCCAAACCAAGTCAGCAAGTAGGTCAGATCTGGCAATGATGCATCTTTGCCAATCCAGACACGGATTATGAAGAAGTTCCTTCCAAAGTCTGGAACTGCAAACAAGTGTACGCACGTCCTCACTCACATGTGATAGGTGTGCGAAAAAGTCTACGAAAAGGGGAGTTGGTGTTGCCGGAAATGGAAAGGGAAAGGGGAAAGGACCTTTGAGCGGGTGTGGAGCGGTGGACCTTTAATTTGCTTGAACGGACTTTCCTCCCAAACAAATGCTCAAGCCCCTTGCGCAGGTTCTTGCAATGCTCAAGCCCCTTGCGCAACCGCCCCTCGCGCAGGGGAGGAAGGTTGCCCATCAAAACCCAAAGGTTGTGTGCGTTTCTGAAACAAAGCAAAGATGCGAAAAGGAAAGGCGTCTGCAAAAAATAGTACGATAACATAACACAATCATAAGTGAAAGGCAAAGACAAGAAGGAAAACCGAAATGAATTATGGAAACTATGAAAAAGAAATGAGGAAAGGACCAGTCAGTGAACACTGCCAAGGAACCAACCAACCACCAAGCAAACAAACAAGCAAACAAACAAACAATCAATCAATCAATCAATCAATCAATCAATCAATCAATCAATCAATCAAATCAATCAATCAAACAATCAAACAATCAAGCAAGCAAGCAAGCAAACAAACAAACAAACAAGCAAGCGACCAGCAAACAAACAAACAAACAAACAAAACAAACAAACAAACAAACAAACAAGCAAACAAAACCAAACTAACCCGCGAAACAAACAAACAAACAAACCGGATCAATCCAAACCAAACCAAACCCAACAAACCAACCAATCCCAAACCAGCCGACCAATCCCAAACCAGCCGACCAATCCCAAACCAACCCCGACCAACCGACCGACCAAACAAACGAACAACCAAAACAGAACTAAAAAGCCAACCAACCAACCAACCAACCAACCAACCAACCAACCAACCAACCAACCAACCAACCAGCCAAGGAAGCAAACAAACAAAACAGAAAGGAAGAACACAATCCAGCTGCGCTGTGTGTCTTCGAGCTCCAAGTGCGTGCGTGCACGCACGCACGCTCGCGCACTTCCCAAGTCCCCAGCCCGCACCAAGCCATCCCCACAAACCCGCTCAAACCATCTTGTCTAAGTCTAATCCAGTCAAGCCGTCCAGGCCGAGTCTAGTCCAAGCCCACCCCCAAACTCGCCTCCCAAACCCCACCCCCCTTCAAACCCACCGCCAAAACCCCAACCTGAAATAGGCCAGCCTAGTCCTCCAGCTCAGGCCCAACCAAGCCCCCAGCCCATCTCCCAGTCCAAACCACAACCCCACAAGCCACCCCGCAAACTCACCCATACACCTCACAGCCAACTACCCCGCAAACCCACTCCCCAAAGCCACCTCCAGAACCCCACCCCACAGCCGCAGAACAAGCCATCCAAACGCACACCTCACAAACCCCGCGCCCACAACGCCCGCAACAAGCCCCCACACTTCCGAAACTACACCGACTCACAAGCTGAGCAGCGCTGGTGGCAAAGCACTACGAATAAACGAATCAAAGAGAGTCAAAGAGAGTAAAGAAACAGACACAAAGGAAGTAAGGTAAAAAAACCATGAAACAAACACAACATGCACTAAAACAAAAAAAGGCAACGTCAGCGGTTGAAACAAGGCATGGAAAAGAAGAAGGATGCAAAAAGGAAGCTGCCGAGGCTTGTGGGCCGCGGCAAGAGCTGCTTTGCCGGCAAGGACAACACGCGAAGAGGTCGGGAGAGGTACAAGTGGAAGGGTTACAAGGTTGCGTAAGGGTTACCGTATTACAAGTGGAAGTTACAAGTCCAAGTGACCCAGGGCAGAAAAGGCGGCAGAAAACGTTCCCAGTTGAAGTGTAGCCGGACACCGGGCCTGCCGCCAATGACACGGGAATGCCTTTGTGAAGCATGTTTAGTAAAGAGCACC